AGCACCCGCAGTCGCAGTACGTCGCAGTCAGTCGCAGTGGTAACACGAGCGAGAGGGTAGTTGCACGCGCCTGCCTTCGAAAGGAAAGATCGCGGTAAGGGGGAGAGAGCAAGAGAGAACGCAAGTGAGCGGGCAAGATAAAGAGAGAAAAAAGGAACGAAAGAGAGAGCGCGGCGCCCCTTGCCACCGTTTTCAGTGCTTCAGTCGCGCGACGACGCTCTCGGACGCTTTAGTCAGTCGGTCGGTGACGCACCTCCCAAACGTGATACACGCGCCGTTACGTTACGTTACGTTAGGTCGTTCCGTCGAAGGGGAGAACGAGAGCGAACGAAACGGGGAGAGAAACGCCGAAAGGAGTAGACGAACGAACGAAATAATATTGTATCGGTAAAAAACAGATACGCGAACAAAAAAGAAATAAAAAAAGAAACACGAACATCGCGAGCGACGATTTTGACGGCTTCAAGTCGCGCTCCTAAATAACACGAATCTCAAACGAACACACAGTTCCAACCAGTGCGAATATCGAGAAGGCCACTTTCGTAGCACGGCTTTTGCACGCGGTGAAAGAAAGCGCGCGAGTGAGAGAGAGACTGAACGACGAGAAAAAGACGTGCTGATTGTGGACACGAGATTACGACGAGTAGTAGCCCACACGTTTCCAGTGTACGAATAACACTCACGCTGTGCGTTGCTCGTACACACGCACGGCACAGAGGACCCGGACGAAAAAGGCAGAAGACGAAGAAAACGATCACCGGCGAGGCGACGATTTTATTTTTGTACGGTGCATCGTTGTTTTTCCTACGAACATTATACGCTTCGTGACCGCGTACGAAAGAAGAGTAGATCGCCCGATTTTCTTGGTGTAGCAGCCACTATAGTCCTCGTCCTAAATAATACAGTGTGTGTAGTGTGCACGCGCGCGCGCTTATGTTTCGTTGTTTTTCGATCGTTTCGAGTTAGGCTCTGTCTACGAAGAACCCGTCTCTGATCAACATCATTCGGCCATTACTCTACAATTCTACTCATAGCAAAGTATTACGGATAGAAGGAAACAGGGAAAGAAAGGAAAGACACGGGCTGTGAAGAAAGAACTGAGACTATATCATAATCGAAATAGTGAAAAATCGGTGAATAAAGAAACTGTGATTTATACTATCTGTGCAAACGGTATCAACGTACGATTAACTTCATCGGTGCGACACAACGCGATTACTTTAGTCGAGCAAAATGCCAACAAGTTTGTTCAGCGAAATGGATCGTGGGGCGAATGGCGGTGGCACCGCTTCCCTCGAGGACCAACGAGCCCTGCAATTGGCATTAGAGTTATCTATGCTCGGTCTCGAAGGTACTCCCGGATGCCCGGGCACTGGCACAGGAACCGGCACCGGAACGACCAACGATCCGGATCCTTTGCAAACGACACCAGCAGGCGTTTTCGAGGAAGCACGTTCTAAGAAGAGCCAGAACATGACCGAATGCGTGCCGGTACCTAGCAGCGAGCACGTGGCAGAGATCGTCGGCCGACAAGGTAAGAGCGCGAACATAACCTCCACATCTCTTGCAAACTGGCGGATTTCCTTCTTGCGATCGTTGAACATTGTTCTTTACGCGTTACAAAATAATCGATACAGTCACAAATCTGACACATACTCGAAAAAATTGATAACGATTTATCGACGAACGATAAATTTTATAGCCGAAAAGTAAACGTAAAGCGTTTAATCTCGATAAATTGTGATTATACGAGGGCTTAGCGTAAGAGCCTTGGAATCGCTTGAATCGTATGTAACTGCATGACAACAATGATATTCGTTGTACTCTTTAGCAGATATACATAGAAATTCCGCGAATACGTTGAAAACCCTTTATAATTTTATACGTGTATGGGTGAACGTAAAATATTTTTCAAAGGTCGTTCGATAAATGTTGAAACGGTCGTAAATAATGTTGTCGAGTTAGTCGTACTGTAACATGTTTACGTAAGTTGAATTCTCGTAGTACGTTATTTTGCATTTCTCGTTACCGGAATCTGTCGCGTATAGCACCACTGACAGTTCATTGGCACGGGCGTGAGCGTGGCGCGAGAAACGCGGTATCAAGTAATGGTGCAATTAAACCAATCTAACTTCGAAAAGCAAATTTATTTTGAAGCTCGGTGGAACGTCGTACAGTGAACCCTGGCGTAGGTCGTGGTCGTTCATCGGCCACCTTTGCGAACAGCCTAGTTACGTTTATCTTTGTTCCGTGGTATGTATAGAAAAGAGGAAAAAATGTAGTTAGAAAATGAAGACAAGAAAAAAGAGAACAAAAAGCTGCACATAGAAGCAAGTTTAACTTAGAATTTGTTGCGATATTGCGTATCGACCTCATAAATAAATAAAGAATGATTATACATCGCGGTTAAGTGTTTCGAGACCGATGGCATTTTCGTAACCTTCGCTAGTGTGCACAAGCGTTCCTTGGAACGTTAAAATCGAGCTCGTCGTTCTTTTATCCGTGCCGCAACCGTCTTGGTATATTCTTTTCTTTTTTCTACACCCAAGTTTCCAAGAAAGGTGTCAAGAATAGCGACGTCATACTTTAAACGATGCTGCGATGTCGCTGCATCTAGAAATTCGCATGACACGCGTTAATGGATATAATATTACGCCAGATAAGAAATGTTTTACTTGCTATTCAATGTGTGTAAAAAAAAGGATCAATTTGTTAATAATAATCTTTATGCATGATATGCAAAAGAAATTGAATACATGCGTTTGATTTATTGATATATCGTGTTATACAGTTTACTAAACGAGTAAATGGTAATTATTATTATCTTGTTGCGTCGCGATTTAACAATGTTTACAGTGGTTGAAAGCCGGCCGCTCGTCAAAGGACACGAAACGTCGACGACAGTTAAACTTAGAGAATTTCAAACAAAACGTTAGGCTGGAATCTTTACGAGTACCTTCCTTCTTTCCAAATGTCAAAGCACGGTTGTTACAAATAAAAATAACAGACACGTACGTGACACAGACGCTACGCACCTACTTCCGACCTTTTTATACCGCGATGCCCACCGGTAAGTCGCGGTCAATAACTTAGCGTCTTTCGTTTCGACCATTCTGAATGACGTGAAATGACAATTTTCGTTTTTTTATAATCCGTGTTTCATTGAGCACGCGAGAAGTAAAGGATCTTTCTCGCCGTATAAGGTCAGTCATGGCTAGCGAACGCATCTGTGTTCTTTCTACGATGTGCACCGTGAAAAGATAATCTTTCCATTGAATAGCAAAACAGTTGCTTTTATCGAACGAATTTAAACCATGTACTAACAGGACACACATTATATGTATATACAGCATCGTTCGTTTTGTAAGGCGTTTCGAAATTGAGAAAACCTAGAACGCCGCAGCGCGGCGCCACGTGGCTTGCCATTTAAATCTTAACATCTGTCAAAGATCGCGCGGATGATAAATAATCACGTAACTCCGTTCACAGTCATCAATACCGTGCCTATACTTTATCTACGTTCGTGAGACTCATGCTTTTACCGATTAATGTCGAAGATTAGAAACGGCTCTTTTCGCTCGAAAGTGCTTACGCGTACTCTCTGTGTATTTGCATTTTTAGTTTTGACCTATCTCGATGCGATTTTACACGCTATCGAAAAGTGGAAAAGAACGGAAGAAATGCTCTTTAGTTTGATCTCTGTTGTATATTTGATATTCCATGATATAAGTTCGATGGGATACAAAACGCGTGCAAATACACACGGAAGGAGCGCGTCTATCGATAGCACGTGCCATAGATCGATCATCTACAGCTCGTTCTCGACCACCTCCACCGTATCTGTCGTCACGTAGAAACGAGCGAGCGCAATTTACCTCGCACGATACACTTTTGCAAATTCGAAATTGGCCGCTTGCCAGTCTACAGTTGATATATTATACATGCATTCATCGACACTTCGAGTCAATAAAAATACTAAGTTCGTCTTCCATTCCTGTTCTCCTACGACTAAACATTCTATATAATATTCCTATATGCAATAACTTTATTAACAACGCTTGGCTATCTAGCGTTGATTACGGCGATTATAAGAATCGATCAATCGGATAAAGTAGTGTGTATCTAGTCCTTGTTTTTCAGCCGAGTTCAATGTCTCGCGTGCCTTATTACACCGATGTTATTTTGCTACGGCTCGCGAGAAGAGAGCTGCTCGGCCCCGATATCTGGTCGATAACGTTTTATTATATCTGAATATAACGTACCTGGCAACGCCGTCGTTCCAGCGATGCCTAAAGCATTCCTCGATAGGAGGGAAAACGGTGGCGTGTAAAAGGAAGCCGTATGGTGCTCGTCGCTCATCACGTGAAGCGCGCTAATATTGACCGTCCAATAACATTAGACTCGGACACTTAGAACGGTGTCAAGACTGTTCGTGTTTTAAATTCAGAACCCGCTACGGATTTCCGTACGTGCTTATCGTGTCTTCCGTTCGGCCGAGCTTTCTCGCATCCTCTTACACGCCGTAATCTTCAGATTGAGAACCGCTGGCGTGTCGTGCGACCGAAACGCGCGCGAGTAAGCACTGACTCGATGCTTCTGCGTGGCGTACGCAGCGCGTACTCATCGAACGATTACGCCGTACCCACGTTTAGATCGATATTCTCATTTATTATATATTACGAGGCCGGTATTTTTACTACGTGAAATTAGTCGTTGGTATTTTTTTAAATCAGCCAACACTCGTATAGAACCATCGATTAGAAGCAAGGTTACGTCTATAATAATATAACGTGCAGAATCGTTTATCTGGAAATTTATCCTGGGCACTGTACTATGCAGAAAATTATATGACGAAGCAAGGGGTATAATACGAAGAAATCGTAACGCGAATCTCGGATTTCTCGTTGACGTTTCCAATCATTTTCCTCGAATAGACACGTATAGTTGTGCATTATGATTTTCCTTTCTTACATAAAATCCGTTCGCTTCCTGCTTTCCCAACCACTCCACCCTTTGACGGGAGCGGGGTCGGGGTTGCGGATCTACATACGTCCACGTAGCTGTTTTCTCTCTAACGTTGCATTGTGTCTCGTAGATCGGGCTACGAGCCTTTTTTCCAGCGGCTGCAGTCCGCTCGGAACCAGTTTAACATACCTGGCATGAATCATTGCTCTAGCGCGACTGGGTTCCCGCACTCTCGTACGCCTAAATTTCTCGACGGATGCAGAGAGTGTCTTTAGCGTGTATGCCTAATGCGCTGACTTCTCAACGTACGGCGTGTGTACGCGCGTCGTATCAGCGCTCATGATGACGATCAAGCGTCTATCCGAGCCGATCGTTCGTTTTTAACGGGAAGATCGGATCTTTCTGCGGAACGTAATCGTGTCGATTCGATAATGATGTCTAATGAGTTTGATACGCCGTTCCATTATGAGGATGTGGCTATTTGTTGAGCATTTTCGCTCGATTCTCGCTCCTTCTCTCCCTCCCCACCGTCCATCTTACTCACGCTCGCGCTCTCTGTCTCATTCCGTCGACCAGTTGGTCCGCCGCGCTGTTCTGCTGATTCTCTTGTCCCCACCATCGCCGCTCGAGATCTCTGTCTCTCTCCATCTTTCTCATTCCCTCGGGCCGCTCTCTTTCTGGCTCGCTCTCCTGGACCGGAAGTTGTAATGAGCGACTCCGTCGTCAGACTCGTCGCCTCGTGTCGCATCGCGGCGAACGATGACGTTACTTTGGAAACATCACGGCTGGTTATCCAGGTCGTTAGCTGCAGCGTCGCGTAACCGGCGCGACGCGAACTGTGGCGCGCGTGATGCTGCGTGTTGCCGCTGCTGCTGTTGCTGCTGCCTCGTCGCGATGGGAAGGAAGAAGCGTTTCGCTATTAACCGTCCCTCGATTCTGTTAAACGTGACGCACACACGTGCGCAAACGTCGCCGTACGCACGGCACAACAGCACCGGTTATATACACGAGATCCAGCCTGCAAATAGGACCGCTCGAAGCGCGAAACTTTCTCCGTCTTTGCTGGAAAAGCAAAGAGGCGACGCGTGCCAGCTGCTAGAGGACAGTTTTGTTTGTTTAACGAAATAGGCGAACGTGGTTATCGAGGCTGGTTTATTTGTAGCCGGTACACGAGATAGAAGCTCGAACGTGTGTAGTTGTTATTCGTCGCGCACATAACCGTAACACGAAGGAAATGTCGTTCGATTGTGTGTGTATGCCATGAGTACAGAACGGCGAGTTCCTGACTTCTGTACAACGTTTAATGTATCGTTTCCTAATGATACGTGAAAGAAACATCAGTAGAAATTCGAATGGCAGGAAGAGAAGACATTTTTTTATCGTGACGGCAGCACGTGCTCGATGCTACCGCCAGCTTACTTTTTCCACCGAAATGGAAGATTTGTGTCGACGATGAAACCGTGTTAATAGACCCATACTGGCCCTACCGCTGTTCACGCGCCTTCGTAAAAAGCTGCCCATGAGACGGGAGAATCTTTTCTCAGTATTTTACGACTTGTTCGCTTGGTATGGTCAAACGCTACATAAGTTTCGTGGTAGGAGGAGGAGCAGATCCCGAAAACGTTAGTGTATAGGACTTTTATTTGCTCTTCACAAATTTATAATGGTAAACTCACGCGTGTTGTTCTCTATAAGTCGGATACTCTTCTAAAAGAAATCTCGTCGTATCAACTAACGTCCCTGAAAAATATCTATCTCCGTATTGTTTCTATTTGTATTATGCATTTAATTCCATTTGTTATAGTTCTCATTTCTCAAGTAGATCAAGTCGCGTTTGACCACAACCAAAAAACCAACTGTCTCCTTTGAAAACGTCGTAACGGTCATTATTGCGGTTCCTTGTTATTCATAATAATTCCGGTGTAACGCGATGACAGAGAGATATACATGTGCCCAGGAAGAGGAAAGGCGCAATTATGTTAAAAATTGTTTCGAGCACAAATGGACGCACGATTTCAGACCCATGCACGGGGCCTTGGCCATGATCGTTTTCGAAAGTTCGTCCCTTTTCCTTCGGCCGCAACATCGGCCACAAAATTAAGAGTTTCCGCCGGCGAGAAGAATTTCAAAGCTGTGAGAGAGAAAGAGAGCTCTCCTTTAAATGCATCGTCGTCATCGTCGTCGAATTTCTTTCTTTCGTCGCTAACGACACACTTCGTCACGCACGGCGATTGTGCCTCGACATTCATCTCGTTCCGTCGGTTCTCTCGAGGCCGTGGAATCGTTCGCCCGTTCCTCCTCGGTTCAATTTGCGGCCGACGATGTCGAAACTTCCCGCGCTTTCTCCGTCCGTCGAAACCTTGAGCTTCGTCACCGACATCGAAGAAGGATGAACGAGATCTCGGATTCTCGAACAGTGGTTATTCGATTTTGTACATACAACTTCTTGAAAACGCTGCTCGAGTGAAGTAACTTGAACTTTTCTGCGTTCCTTTTGAGATGTCTCTCAAGAAGGAAGGAAAACTGGAGAAAATCCGTAACACGCATACTGACGATAGTAGTAGTAGTAATATAGTAACGACCCGTGATAGGGTACGGTGGTTGTTGCCTTTGTTGGTTGTTGGTCTTCGAAGCAGCTGCCGACCCACACCGGGTCTCTTTCCGTTCTCATACTCGAAACTCGATCGACACTTAAGCCTTAGGGAATGAGAGGCCGAGGGGACGAGGAGTATAAAATGCAGGAGGTAAACGATAAATATCGTGGGTAAGAAAAAGAAACGAGCTGAAAAGGGAGAGAATTCGGTTGGAGGGGATGAGAATGTGATAGAAACTGTCGACGATGCATTTCGAAGGACCAAATCTGCGTTGGTTGAGAACCACTCGCGGGCCAAAGTGCCCCCGCCTAGCAGATGTTTACAGCGCGTTGGCTGAAATGAGCGGTTTTTCTCTTTTTTTATTTATTCTGTCTGCCATGTGCAACGACTACCCTCGACCAGAGGTCGCTGCCTCCCAAACCGCCCTTTGCTATCTCCACCAACTTTGTTTCTTCTTTTAGATATTCACGTGTGTTCGTTGTATACATGAGTGACCCTCGTGCGTGTGTGCTCGTTTTACCAGGTTCTCGTTCGAAAAATCTCTGAATGCGTAATTTCCATCAGCTTATCCCGTAATTTATCGTCGCGGCTTTCTCAATTTGGCACGATTTCATCGCGGCTGCATGATTCAGTTGCGCGTAACGCGTGACGAGGACACGCCGACTAATATAATACGGTGATGAGAGTTTGATAAGGGGACGCGGGCAGGGGAACGGGCACAAGAGGAGAACGAGACACGGGGACCAGGAGGTTCCCAAAGCGGCAGAGACGCAAATTTCATTGAGTGCAATTATGCATACCACATAATTTACCGTGGACCGGCCGG